CCAGAAGTGGCACTGTGGCTCAAGTGGTAGAGTGCTAGCCTTGAGCTGAAGAGCTGAGGGACAGCGCCCAGGCCCAGAGTTCAGGCCCATGACCAGACCCAAAAAACCCCCAAAAACGCTAATGCATAGTGCCCAGGCCCTGAGTTTAAGCCCTAGTACCACCACCACAAAAGAAGCAGCATGGTTCAAATGACAGTATGCCAGCTGAGCAAGCAAGCTAAGTGCAGACCCTAAGTTCAAACCCCAGTATAGACAGACAGACAGACCACCAGGCAGCAAATACTGAAGAAGTGAACAATTTCTGAATCAAAGCATTTTAAGAATAAATCCATAGGAAGTGGCACTGTGGCTCAAGTGGTAGAGTGCTCACCTTGAGCTGAAGAGCTGAAGCACAACACCCAGGCCTATAGTTCAAGCCCCCCAACGGAAAAAAAAAACCATAGGAAATGAGCCAGTTAACAATACACAAGTAGTCTTAGTAGAATATAGTTCAGCTTACCAGTTCAGATTTTTAGGGGCTACATATTGCGAATGTGATTTAGGGAAAAGGAGTGCATAGGACTAGCCAGACATTATTCTAGTCAATAACAATGAAAACCCTAGCCTCATAGAACTTGCAGGAAGGGAATTTAATTGCTTTTTGTCTGTTATATTTTAAAAAGTAAGCAACTGAGAATTGAGAATTGGGGGAAAGAAGTAGCATTGAGTTGGATGGCAGAATATGTATATTTTTGCATTGAAATCTGGGAAGAGTCAAAGAGGGGGACATGTCCTGAGGGCATCACACATACTGTCCCATGGCATAGCCCAAATTTCCAGCAGAAGCCCACAAGGAACTGTAATGTGGGCTGAGTACCAGCTACCCATCAACCAAAAAAAAATGAAGGGGCTGGGAAGGTGGCTCAGTGGCAGAGCGCTTGCCTTGCATGCCTGAGGCCCTGGGTTCAATTCCTCAGCACCACATAAGCAAAAAGAAAAAAAGCCCGAAGTGGTGCTGTGCCTCAAGTGGTAGAGCGCTAGCCTTGAGCTGAAGCGCTGAGGGACAGCGCCCAGGCCCAGAGTTCAGGCCCCAGGAATGGACCCAAAAACAAACAAACAAACAAACAAAAATGAAACAAATGACAGGCCTGGGTCACACACAGAGTCCTGAATGGAAATTTGCTATAGTTAGAATGTTTATCTCCAATTAGCAACAGAAAGCCAGAAATGATATTATGGCTCAAGTGGGAGTGTCAGCCAAGAATGAAAAAGCTAAAGCCCAGGCCCTGAGTTCAAGCTCTGTTATTGGCACCAAAAAAAAGAAAAAGAGCAAAGAAGGAAGGAAACAAGCAAACCAGTCAATAGTCTCTGTGAGAGTAGATGCAGAGAGAGAAAGATGAAAGATCAGAAGATTCCACATGGCTGGTTTAGGATGCCCAGGGAGGGGCAGTACTCAAAGGCTGAAGGCAACTTTGGGAGCTGGAAAGAACAAGAAAATGAATCATTTGTTGGGCCTATAGAAGGAATGTAGTTTTTCTGGCCCATGTAGGCTTCCAACATCCAAAATGAATCTATGAGTTTTTAAAAATAGGTATAATATGGGGCTATACAGGAGAATGAAGAAAGGGAAAGAGAAAAGAAAACTGGTAATTTGTGATGTTTTATGGCATGAAATTTGAGGTCATTTTTTTTTACAGCAACAATAGGAAACCAATGAAGTCTTCCATCTTGAGTCCAGAAGACCTAGGCTGACGCTTCAAACTATAATCCCTCCACCCAGGTCAGGTAGTCCAGGTTGCTAGCTGTTAACAGCAGGAACAAGTATTTATTCCAAACCCCTTGTATGCCAGGCACTGTTTTGTAAGCTTTAGAATTACTTCATAATTCAAGCCAGGCACCGGTGGCTCATGCCTGTAATCCTAGCTACTCAGGAGGCTGAGATCTGAGGATCATGGTTCAAAGCCAGCCAGGGCAGAAAAGTCCATGACACTCTTATCTCCAGTTAGCCACCAGAAAACTGGAAATGGTAAAGTGCTTGCCTTGAGCTGAAGAGCTGAGGGACAGCTCCCAGGCCCAGAGTTCAAGCCCCACGACTGATCAAAAAAAAAAAAGGACAGAAAGGAAAAGAATTACTTTATAATTCAATCCTTACAATAACAGCATAGAGGACCTCTTATGTCCTGTTTAACAGGTGAATAAAGTGATGTGTAAGGTGATATACATGTCCCAAAGCTAGACAGTCACATACCAGAATTTGCTTCTTAAGCCATTGCTGTCAGCCACCATCAGAGCAATGGCCAGTCATCTTAAACTTTAAATAAATTTATAGAAACTTACATTGACCTGACACTGCTCCTTATTTGCATTGCTTTAAAACAGATGAGAGTATGCACTGTGTAACGTTACCCTCCAATTCTGGATTACTATTCTCGACACTGTGACAAAATACTTTACAAAAACAATTGAAAGGAGGAAAGATTTCATAAGATTTGTGGCTTCAGAGATTTCTGTACTTAGTCCTTGGCTCCATTGATTTTGGGCCCATGAAGAGGTAAAGATCAAGCTGGCAGGAGTGTGTGAAAGAGGTGACTTCTCACTTCATGCTGGACAGGAAGCAGAGATGGAGGAAGGTAGACTGGGGATGATGCATAACGTTCAAATCCCTCCTCCAGTCACCATCTCC